GGGGGGTCAGAGCTTGTGTGAGCCGCCCCTCTCCGACTGACAGATCAGACACCAGACAGCTGAGCGTCGGGGTGAGAGAGGGAGGATGAGACAGCACTGAAGACAGGATCTGCCCAGAGGTCCCCGCTCTCTCTAGCCAGAGCGCAGCTGTTCAATCCTCCCTGCTCCCCCTCCCTCCGCCGCCCGGCTCAATCAAATCAAGGCGGCTGCTACCGCCACGTGCCTGTTCAATACTGCCTCCTGCTCCCCCGACAGATGACAGGACCCCCCGCGCCAGGGAGATTAACCCCTGCGCCGCCAGTGGCTCTGGCAGCCCCCTCCCTGCTTACCGCTGGACGATCGAAGCTGCGAGGCGGAAAGACGAGACGACAGAGGGGGTTCGGGGAGAGGGCGGGACCGCGCCGCCGCTCTCTCGGGGTGAACGGACAGGGCCAGGCGCGGGCTGGACAAGCGGGCAACGACAGATAAGATAGATAAGATCAGATAATTTTATTGGCCCTATACAATTTCTCGCATTAGGAATGTGTCTTTTCGCAGACCCCAGCTCGCTCTCCATGAGACACACAGACAGGGAGAGAAGCTGGGGGTCAGAGCGCAGGGTCAGCCATTTATATGGGGCCCCTGGAGCAGGTGGGGTGAAGGGCCTCGCTCAGGGGCCCAACGGAGTAGGATTCCTCTGCCGGCCGCGGGATACGAACTGGCAACCTTCCAGCCACAGGAGCAGATCCTGAGCCACAGAGCCACCGCAGAGCCGGAGCTCAGGAAGATCCTAGAGATTCCTGGCTCGGCCTCCGGGTCCCGGGGAGGAAGCACGCAGCCTCCCAGTTGTTCCCAAATTACCGTGAAATCGCGCTTTAACAGACGATTAAGATCATCAAGCCGCAAATCGGCGAGAGACAAATAAACAGGGCATTAGACTCTATTTACACATTATTAATCCCCACGAGAAGGCCTTAATAAAGTCCACATGTAGAAAGAGCTCTCCTCATTCCGCCACAGAGCTCTCCTAGGGAAGACTCGAGCCGGGACAACAGAACGGCGTGGGGAACTCTGGCACTGTGACACAGGGTAAGGGATGATCCGAGCTGGACGGGCCAGACGCCCTGCGGTTTTTCCCACACCTTTTTTTATGTTCCGACGGCGTTCCTAATCCACAGGGCACACCTTGGGGCGTCACTCGACCCGACACGTGAGCCTCTCGGGCTTTTCTTCGCTTTATTCCGCACCCCAGCGAACCCCCACCCTCCCCACACTGGATTTCGGAATTCTGCAGAACTGCGGGTGCCATGCGCCCGCTGGGGGGTGGAAGTGACACAGCAGCACGTATTCCAGAGCACACAGTGATTCCCAAAGGGACCTGCTGGCCGGACAGGGGGAAAGGCCACCGCATCTCTTCGGTCCCGAGCCAAGAGGATCACGAGGCGATCCGATTAAAAAGACCCCGAGCCCTGACAGGTACTGCGGATGAAATGA